TTTTAAAGTGCACTGGTATTGTTATGTTGTGTCCCAGGGATGGATTTCTGGACACTGTGGGATATTTTCTTCGGTTGTCTATAGTAGAGCCTTAGGTTTGGTAAATAATTAACCTAACGAGTTTTACTTATGATTTTTTATTAAAATATTCTTTAAAGTGTTTGCTTTATTCTAATTCTTCCCTCATCGATATGTTTAAAACTCTGTTGTTGTTTCTATAGCGATCTTCCTAAGACTAATTACAAATACTTATTCTACATATAAAATTAACTAAGCAAGGGGTGGGAGTTTGAGGAGTAAGGCAAAGTTTTGATAAGATGCTCCGCTTCAGGTCAGTGCTCCTGTACTGATTCTGCCAATTCTACATTTTGGTTCCCAATTGAAAATATGATGTTCTTATCAGTAATTGGTCTCAATGAAACTGCATATTCTGCGTCTGGGTTCTCAGTTGAAAATAAGAAGGAACGTTACAATCGGTCTCACGGTGGAGGTTCCTTTATGATTATGTATATGTTTATATAATAAGGCGACTAAGAGACGCCGTGTATGTCACTAATTCGTAAATACACTATATTAACATTAATAATTGTAATAATAACGGTTGGAAACAATACTTTGAAAAAACAACACATATGTTTTCTTAAAGCATGCTTTAATAAGAAGATTGTTTGTCGTCGTTTAATATTACAAACATATTAAAGTACAAGGATTTGCAGATGGGATGCTGAAGTCAAGATGCCAGAAGTACTTAAGGACACTAAGGGAAAATCACTGGATATGCAAAGTGATTTGGACAATTCTATAAATCTTGGATTGTCAAATGGTTTGCAAGAAAAAAAAAAGAAGAAGAAGGTAGAAATAGAAACTCATGTAAGTGAGAGTCGGGTTACTAAGAAATTGAGGAAGCACAAGTTAGAAGTAATGGGTAACGGAAGAACTGAATTAAACTTAGAAACACCAATTAAAAGCAAAAAAGAAGTAAGAGATGCTGAAGCATATTACCGAATTATATAACCTGTTGGTTCAATCAAAGTATGTCAGGTGAGTATTTTTTTCAGAATCCTTCATTTCTTCGCAATACTGTGGAGTAGTCACGTCAGCCCTGAAAAAAAAAATAGGCAAACATTAGATATATGAGCCGTTATTTTATAAAGTCCATTTTTGGAAAAAAAAACTGAGTTAATGGTAATTTTAGTAAGATATACATATCTTCTTTTTTTTATTTATAATTATACATTGATTGGAGCACATTTCTTGATAGCTAATCAAAATAATTTTACTATATAATGTTATTGAAAAATATTTTAGAAAGTGGTATATGTCCATTTCTAATATTATTAATAGTTAAAAAACAACTTTATAATTGCAATTATTATTGATTATTAGAACTTCAATGTGCACGATGCACTTTGCAGAAGATACATTCAAATAGTGGCAAAAAATATTAATATTTAAAAAAATGCATGAAAATATATATTTTTTATTTGGAAAACAAGTAAAACCCATTGAATGTATGACTATAAAGAAAATAAAAAGAGTTTATCTATACCAGTTCTCTCGGCCTATGTAACTTGATGGTCAAAAAATGGAACTAATTTTTGAGACTACGCACATGAGATTATATAGTATACATTTTGTTTTTATGGCATGGTCATAAAAAAGTATAATTCAAGTGGTGGTGGTAACTACCACCTTATCCCCAATAACCTTCATCCTTTTTTCTTAGTAATCACCTAGGCAGTATGGAAATTCCATTAATGACTAGTATAATATTTATTGGTATATTAATAAAAAGTATATTGTTAGTGAAATTTTGTCTGTGTTGTGTGATTAAAACATTTAAATTTTATTTACTTTTACCAAGAAATTATAAAATATTCTAACAAAATTATATAAATACAAAATGTCACGGAAATTACCGTTATGAATAAATTGTAGACCAACTATAAGTGATATAACTACCGCATATTTCAGTTTATTTAATATACATTATAGATATTGTGTATGAAGATAAACATGTTATAGATATTAGGGAAAGTAAATAAAAATAAAAAATGCTTGTGTTAGATAAAGCACCAAGTTATGAAGGTACAAGAAAAAGAACATATTCAAACCAATTTTATATAGAAGATTATATAGAAGATAGAATTTTATATAATAGAAATTGTAGGGCCATTACACAATGACGGTATCAACTGAAATATAGATTGTGATGTTTATTTAGGAAGAAACAATACTTTGTTAGTTATTAGTCAAATGAAAAAC